ACCATCCTGAAGCAAAGGTGTAAGTATCTCAGCCACCGATGTGGATGAATTTTGGGTGTTTAGGAATTCCAATGAGGGATGCTTAACCTGCATGAAAATCCATTAATAGTTTGAAAACCATACTTCCAAATTAATCCGCCGGACGGGATTGCTGACATTAGCTCAGATAGCATCTTCAGGTGATGGATCCCTTTTGGACAGGTCATTTTGCATTGTGTGGATGGCCAAAGAACATCTCCTCTGGGTAATACCCAATCTAGATTTGATTGACCAAAGTAGGCATTTCTCAGAAGGCCTGAACATATGGGGTAGATAATATGGCAGAAGGCAATCCTGTTGATAACCTAGACCCAAACCATGTAGGGATTTAAGGAGTTTATTTATTTATTTTGGACATTTGTATCCCATCCTATCTCGATCTCCGCAGAGGGACTCAGGGCAGCTAACAACCGGCACACCATGGTGACCACAATCAAAAGCATAAATATACAATTTAAATAAAAACAATATAAAAACAGTATAAAAACATTCAAACAGTCGCCAATGTAAGTCATAGTCCTAAAAACAACCTGCCAATACACTTACATCCTGAATTCAAAGTGCTGATGATGCTTTAGGGTACTGTACATCTATATTGTAGTTAAAGCAGTATTATACCACTTTAACAGGAGCCTCCGATGGCAAAATGGGTTAAATCGTGCCAGCTGAACTGCTGACCGAAAGGTTGGTGGTTCAAATCTGGGGAGTGTGGTGAGCTCCCATCTGTCAACTCCAGCTTCCCATGGGGGGACATGAGAGATGCCTCCCACAGGATGGTAAAACATCCAGGCAACGGCCTTGCAGATGGCCAATTCTCTCACACCAGAAGCGACTTGCAGTTTCTCAAGTCGCTCCTGACATGGAAAAAAACCCCACTTCAACAGCCATGGGTCAGTGCAATGAAATCATCAGAACTGTAATTTTACGAAGTCTTTATCTTTCTTTGCTAGAGCTCTGGTGCCTTCCCCAAACGTCAAAACTCAGGATTCCATAGCACTGAGCCACAGCAGTTAAAATGGTGTCAAAATGTATTACTTCTAAAACGTAAATGCACCCTTAGAAAGCTTGGGACCTTGATGGCTAAAGGATATATTCTCCCCTCATATGGCTTGCCTGGCATCAGCAAGTGATGATCCACCAATGGGGAAATGTATAGTGGAAGAGTGAGAATGAGGCTAATAGGTACAAATGGTGGTTTCCTTCTGGAGCCCAATAAAAATATTGCTCTTTATTCAAGTTACTGGGGTCCAATTGCGTTCATCGATCCAGCCTTTGCATACATCCAGCCTCTTGTTTAAAAGTCTCCAATGTTAAAACTGTGTACAGTGGGCCCTTGCTGTCCACTGGTGTTTGATTCCATAAATACCAAAATCCATGGAAGCGTGACAGCATTATACACAATCAGTTGTAAAGGGGTATCTGTTATATAAAATAGCAAAACCAAGGCTTGCTTTTGGGAATGTTGAAAAATAGTTTAAACCAGTGGATGGTTGAACTCGTGGATACAGAATCCATTGATGTAAGGGGCCAACCCTACATTAGTATGTGAGATGGGTGCATCTACAATGTAGAAGGAACAGGTGCATCTACATTGCAGAATGAATGCAATTTGACACCACTTGAACTGCCATGGCTCTATACTGTGAATTCATGGGAGTTGAAGTTTAGTTAGCCTCCTCTGTCAAAGAGTGCTGGTGCCTCATTAAACTACATTGCAGAGGCACGATGGGTTAAACCAGGGGTCCTCAAACTAAAGCCCGGGGGCCGGATACGGCCCTCCAAGGTCATTTACCTGGCCCTCGCTCAGGGTCAACCTAAGTCTGAAATAACTTGAAAGCACACCACCACCACCACAACAACAACAACAATCCTATCTCATCAGCCAAAAGCCGGCCCACACTTCCCACTGAAATACTAATACGTTTATATTTGTTAAAACTGTTCTTCATTTTAATTATTCTATTGTTTTAAAGTGTGTTTTTTTTTTTTTGCACTACAAATAAGATATGTGCAGTGTGCATAGGAATTTATTTATTTTTCCAAATTATAATCTGGCCCTCCAACAGTTTGAGGGACTGTGACCTGGCCCTCTATTTAAAAAAGTTTGAGGACCCCTGGGTTAAACCCTTGTGTTGCTGAACTGCTGACCTGAAGGCTGCCAGTTCAAATCTGCAATTCGGGGTGAGCTCCTGTCTGTCAGCTCCAGTTCCTGCCAACCTAGCATTTCAAAAACATGCAAATGTGAGAATAGGTACTGCTTCGGCGGGAAACGTCAAAGAGACACTTCAAGAAATCGTTCCTTGGCTTGAAAATAGAGAAAGCACCTCCTCAGAGCCAGAGATAAGCCGGAAATGAAAGAAGCCTCTGCCTTTGTTTGTGTGTCCCATTGTATATGCCTGTAAAGGCACTGAATGTTTGCCTATATATGCTGTAATCTGCTCTGAGTTCCCTAGGAGAGAAGGGTGGAATATAAATAAAGTATACTTTAAAACGTATTACAGATCCTGTGATTCCATAGCACTTTTTTTTGGTGTCGGGAGCGACTTGAGAAACTGCAAGTTGCTTCTGGCGTGAGAAAATTGGTCGTCTGCAAGGACGTTGCCCAGGGGACACCAGATTGTTTTGATGTTTTACCATCCTTTGTGGGAGGCTTATCTCATGTCTCCGCATGGGAAGCCGGAGCTGACAGAGGGAGCTCATCCGTGCTCTTCCCGGATCTGAACCTGCAACCTGTCGGTCTTCAGTCCTGCCGGCAAAGGGTTTAACCTACTGCACCACCTCATAGCACTGAGCCAACAGTTCAAGTGGTGCCAAACTGCATGAATTCTACAGTGTAGACGCAGCCAATGAGGCCTTATGGCCATGATGCCTAAATGAAATAAGTGCTGGCCCCTATCAGGAAGAGCATTCCACATTTGGGGTGCCACGGCTCTGAAGGCCCCATCCCATATCCAAACACTGCATATTAATCTTATTTATGGGACACTGAGAAGCTATTTGGGACTTTACAAGTCATCACGACCACCTTGAATCCAGATTGGAAATTTGTATTTTGGCAGCAAGTGCTATTTGTTTAAGATTGGCATGACATGCTGTCCATATGGCCTTCTAGTCAGCAGTCAGGTTCCTACGCTCTGCAGTTTCTGAGTGTTCTTCAAGGGCAGCCCCACGCAGAGCCCATTGCAGTAGTCTGCTCAAATATTATTCATTTTTATTGTAAACGTCCTTGCAATCCCATGATATAAGATAAAGGTTTTCCCCTGACATTAAGTCCAGTCGTGTCCGACTCTGAGGGGTGGTGCTCATCTCCATTTCTAAGCCGAAGAGCCAGTGTTGTCATTAGACACCTCCAAGGCCATGCGGCCAGCATGACTACATGGAGCGCCGTTACTTTCCCATCAGAGCGGTACCTATTGATCTACTCACACTTGCATGTTTTCGAACTGCTTGGTTTGCAGAAGCTGGAGCTGACAAACGGGAGCTCACCCCACTCCTCGGATTCGAACCTGCGACCTTTCGATCTGCAAGTTCGACAGCTCAGCGGTTTAACCCACTGCACCACTGGGGGCTCCTTGATATAAGGTACACTATAAATATTTATTTATTAATTATTAATTAATTGAAGCATTTTATTATTTACTAGCCACCCCCTGCCACGCGGTGCTGTGCCCCACTCTGTGTATATGTGTTGTGTGTGTGTGTGTATGTGTATATATATTTGTGTAGATGTGTGTTTGCGTATATATATATATGTTGTTATGCGCATGCATTGTATTGTATATTTTGTTTTTTGGCTGTGTTTTTCAATGTTTTTATGAGTGATGGTCACTTGTTGGCCTCAAATGTGTATTGTGTCCAAATTTGGTGTCAAATCATCCAGTGGTTTTTGAGTTATGTTAATCCTATGAATGAAGATTACATTTTTATTTATATAGTGTATCTTGATATAAGGTAATAGCATTCATCAATTAATAAATAAGACACGAATAAATGTATCTATAGAGTGACTAAGAATGATCAACAGAGACTGATCTAAAGACATAAGGATGCTTCTTCAGGTGTAAAATTAATGCAGTTTGATCCCACTTTAACTGCCACACCCCCATGCTCGTGCTATGGAATCCTGGGATTTGTAGCTTGTGGAGGCCCCAGAGCTCTTTAACAGAGAGACCTTGTAAAACTACAATGCCCAGGATGCCATTGCCTTGAGCCTGGGCAGTTCAAGTGGTGTCAAACTGCATTAATTCTACATGCGACCAAAGCAGCCCCCTATCATCCTTCACTATAGGACAAGTTGGCTGGAGCTGATGGGAACTGCAGTCCGGCAATCCCTGAGCATCTACACTACAGATTTAACGCAGTTTGGCCTCACTTGGAACTATCAGGACTGGGTGATACAGAACCCTGGGAGTTGTAGTTTATTGAAGAACCAGAACCCTTTGACAGAGAAGTGTCCAATATTGTTACAAAACTACAACTCCCAATGCATTCAGCAGTGAAAGCGGTGTCACACTGGATTCATTCTACAGTGTAGATGCAACCTTTCAGGGAGATGAAGCCCAATACAGCTGGAGAGACAAAGGTTGGGGATGGTGGGAGGTGCAGTCTATGCCTTTGCCTGGGGAGAGGGGTCTCAATTCGGGAAGAAGGAGGAGGAAGAGCAGGAGAAGTCCACGCCTCTCCCGTCCTGCAACTTAAACCAGAGCCGCGGGCGAAATCCGGGCCAGTCTGACCGCATTCCCAGTCCGGAATGACGTCTGGAAGCGACTCTAAACGCCCCCCCCCCCTTTAAAAAGAAGGTGTGGGTTCCCAAGCTCGAAAAGCGCATTGAAGTGGCTGAGGAGCCGGGCAGGAAGATACCAAGAGAGCAGGAAAATAGGGGGGTCAGTCCGGGAAGGGGAGGAGGGGCCGAACGAGACCATCGGAATGTGGGAAAAGCCAAGGAAAGGGAGACTTCCTACCTCTCGCCCAGAGACAGCCACCATCTTGTGCGAGCGTTCGAAAGGGGGCGGGGCGCCGAGCGCTGACGTCACGATAAGGGGGCGGGGCTCTCTGGGGAGAGGAAGACATTAACCCTTTCATTCCCAAACACAGTTATTCTGCTCTAATTTACAAAGAATAAACTGGAAATTCAAATGGGGTCCCTTTGAGCTCAATGTTGGGGCCACGAAAAAAAATTGGCAACAGTCAAAGGTTTCTGAACACCACAACAACCTGGAATGCATGCAGTTTTGCAAAAACTTTAAGCTCTATTTCACTTTGAAAGTAATGCAATTGTATTATGGTTACTGCAATCCCTGGTGTCCACTTTTGAGGATTGGATTGGAATGCCTATATTGAGTTTTTCCAGACTGCAATCCATTATTTTCCTTTCCCTATTTGTTGATAGATTTTAGTCAGGACTACATTAGATCTCTCTCTGTTATCAGTTGCCAAACAAATTTGTGAACATCCTGCGGCTCCTCCATGATGGCATGATGGCAACAGTCTTGGGCAGCAATGGCTCCCAAAGTGACCCATTTAAGGTGGAATCAGGTGTCAAACAGGGATGTGTTATTGCCCCAACCTTATTCTCCATCTTATACTTCATCTTGTTGATGGGAAGCTTTCCACCAGAGTGGAAATCATCTATCAGACAGACAGCAGGCTATTTAACCTCAGCAGACTGAAAGCCAAAACCAAGGTTACAACAACATCTGTTATAGAACTCCCGTATGCTGATGACGATGTCGCCTGTGCGCATTCAAAATAAGATCTGCAAGCCACTCGAAACACCTTTGCAGAAGCATACGAGAAGCTCGGCCTGTCATTGAACATTGTGAAAACCAAAGTGCTCTTCCAGCAGTCACCAGCCAATCTCTCTCCAATGCCAGAAATACAGCTTAATGGTGTAACATTAGGAAATGTGGACCATTTCTGCTCCCTTGGCAGCCAACTCTCCACAAAGTCAACATAATCATCATCATCATCATCATCTTTATGTATACCCTGCCACCATCTCCCTGATGGGGACTCGGAGCGGCTTACATGAGGACAAGCCCAAGCAACAATTACAATAAAGAAAAACCAAAAACACAAACCGAAAACGCAAACAATAAACAACAACATCATAGTTACATACATTGACAGTGAAATACAACACTAGCTGAGCTCTGCGAGTGCAGCATTTTTCTGAATGAAGCAGAGAGTGTTTGAGGACCGGGACATCTGTAGGGATACCAAGGTGCTTGTTTATAAAGCTATCATCGTCCCAACCTTGCTATATGCCTGCGAAACGTGGACTGTCTACAGATGTCACATGCAACTCCTGGAACGAAAAATCCTGCAAATCTCCTGGGAAGACAAGCGGACAAATGTCAACGTGCTGGAAGAAGCAAAGACCACCAGCACTGAAGTGATGGTCCTCCGCCATCAACTCCACTGGACTGGCCACGTTGTCCGGATGCCTGACCACCGTCTCCCAAAGCAGTTGCTCTACTCCGAACTCAAGAATGTAAAACGGAATGTTGGAGGACAGGAAAAAAGATTCAAAGATGGGCTCAAAGCCAACCTTAAAAACTCTGACATAGACACCGAGAACTGGGAAGCCCTGGCTCTTGAGCGCTCCAGCTGAAGGTCAGCTGTGACCAGCAGTGCTGTAGAATTTGAAGAGGCATGAATGGAGGATGAAAGAGAGAAACCTGCCAAGAGGAAGGCGCGTCAAGCCAACCCCAACCGGGACCGCCTTCCACCTGAACACCAATGCCCTCGCTGCAGGAGAATATGCAGATCAAGAATTGGGCTCCACACTACGTATATTTCTAAATCTTTCACACAAGCCAAGCCCATACTAGGAAATAGTGCTAATTGCACAGTAGATAGCTCCAGGTCACATATTGGCCACTGTTAAGGGCCAACTCATATGTTTAAAAGATACTCTATCAATCACAGTACAATAGAACTACAGTGCACTGCATGCTTAATGAAATAATTATAATTATAATGGATTCAGACAGACAGAGTTTTGGAGCACAATACTCCTGACCTCACAATCGTGTTAAAAAACAAAGTATGGATCGTCGATGCTGCAATCCCAGGTGACAGCAGGATTGAAGAGAAACTACTGGAAAAGCTGACACAATATGAGTCTTTAAAGATCAAACTGCAAAAACTCTGGCACAAGCCAGTCAAGGTGGTCCCAGTGGTGATCGGCACACTGGGTGCAGTGCCTAAAGACCTTGGCCTGCACTTAAACACAATCGGCGCTGATAAGATTACCATCTGCCAGCTGCAGAAGGCCACCTTACTGGGATACATCACACAGTCCTAGACACTTGGGAAGTGTCCCACGCGTGATCCAATACAACAGCCAGCAGAGTGTCTGCTGTGGACTCATCTTGTTGTGTTTCAAATAATAATAATGATGATGATAATGATGATGATAATGATAATAATAATAATAATAATAATAATAATAATAATAATAATAATAGAAATACAATGAGAGACAAGCTGGATCCTCGGGCAAAATGACAACATTGACATGAGCATGTAAATGTTTTCATCCAGCAAGGCCATGGCCCTGCTCTCCTAGTGTTCTTTTCCAATGTGTCTCAGATAATAATTTCTAAAAAGACACAAAAGAAGTCCATAAAAATGATGGCCATCTTATTTAATGTGTCTATATGTATTTAGAGCTATAATGTCAGGTCTCACTATTTCAGTGTCTAGCTAACTAGGAAGACCCAGTAATTACTTACACAGCCCTAAAACAGCATCAGTCCAAAGGATCTCAGGCCTTTTCCAAACAGCTATAAAAAAAATCCCACATTTTCTGCTTTAAACTGGGTTATGTGTCAGTTTGGATACACATAACCCAGTTCAAAGCAGATATTGTGGGATTTTATGCCTTGATATTCTGGGTTATATGGCTGTGTGGAAGGGCCCTCAGTCATTTTTTTTTATCAGTTCCAGCAAGTAGTTTTCAGTCACAGTCAGCTGTAACTCTTTGATGTTAATTGATCCCAATAATTATGGGAGGCATAAAATGTCTCATAGGGGCAAGTGTAGCTGTTTCTTTTTTCTTCTTCCCCTCTACAGGTAAGTGTTAATCTACAGGACTCGCTTTTGCGGTAAGTTGGGTGGTGGTATTTTTAATATGTAATAATTTGTAGACTTTTAAGCTACAAGTTGCTTTTCTTTCTTTCTTTTTTCTTTCTTTCTTTCTTTACTGCAGCCCTGTAACACTTCCTTTCTCAACCATGTGGCTTTCTCACTGTTGTAGGTACACACACACATATACAAATATGGTTTTTAAAAAGTCATTATAAGGTCAACCTAGTTCAAGGAACCTTGCGGCATTTGATAAAAGCTTGTTCCTGTATATTATGGCTTTGAAATGTCTGCAGTATGAATTCATACATGTTGTTGCATGCCTGCCTTCAAGTTGCCTGCTGACTTAGGGCAACTCCATAAATTTTACAGAATTTTCTGTAAATATTTTACTCAGAAGAGTTCTTGCCATTTCTTCCTTTGAAAGGTAGCCTACATTTTCCATCCAAGTACCAACCAGGTCTGATCCTATTTAGCTTCCAAGACCAGGTGGGATCTGGTGCTTTTAGAGTTTGTAGGAAGGCAGATGCCTCTTCCACACAACTGAATAAAATCCCACATTATATACTTTGAACTGGAATACATGGCAGTCAGGGTGGCTCAACCTATTACGCAAAGTAAGCATTTGCAGTATAGTTGATTTTGCTCAGGGGCGCTCTTGAGGCGCTCTTGGGGGGAAAATAGACCTTGACATATGCAAGCTGTAGTTACTGGGATGTATAGTTCACCTACAATCAAAGAGCATTCTGAACTCCACCAATGATGGAATTGGACCAAATATGGCACACAGAACTCCCACGACGAACAGAAAATATATATCAATTATTGTTGGGGGGGAGCACCAAAATACTGTTTGCTTACCGTTGAAAATTACCTAGGGCCGCCTCTGATGGCAGTGTGAACTCAGATAACCCAGTTCAAAGCAGATATTGTGGGATTTTCTGCCTTGATATTCTGAGTTATATGGCTGTGTGGAAGGGCTCGGAGAGATCATTAGGGACAAACTAAATTGGCACCAGCTGCGTATGCAATTGTAGGTTGAATCTGCAACCTCTTAAATAATCCATAGCCCTTACATAAGTTGTCTTCAGTGAGTTACTCCAAGAGGTGAGTACACAGAAACATGAATTCTTTGCAGTGCCTCTGCCACTTTTCCAGTTGCTCTGTGCAAAGTATAGGATGAGGTCAGGAAATACTCTGTGAATCCCAGGGTCCCAGCATACGCAAACTCTGGCAATTCATCTTCTACTTGGCCTCTTTTCTTTCCCTCCCATATAATCTTTGAAAATGTAGTGCATTGATAAATCTGACCTATTCTTTCATCTCTTCCAGTGTGTCAGTGTCCATGTCAGTGTCCATCTGAGAAACCTATAGAAACGTTTTAAAATGGTAAGCTCAAATGTGTTTGATTCTAAGGAGGAGGGCAGAAGGATTGTGTTAGTGTACGTCTATGTCTCTTTGCTTAGTGTGGGAAGCAACTTAGGAAGAGACTGAGGCCCCTTCCATGCAGCTGAATAAAATCCAGACTACCTGTTTTGAAGTGGAATATATGGCAGTGTGGACTCGGGACCCTTCCACACAGCCCTATAACCAGAATATTAAGGCAGGAAATCCCACAATATCTGCTTTGAACTTGGTTATCTGAGTCCAGATGTGGGATTTTATTCAGCTGTGTGGAATGGGCCCGAGATATCCCAGTTTAAAAGCAGATATTGTGGGATTTTTTGCCTTGATATTTTGAGTTATATGACTGTGTGGAAGGGCCCTGTTTCAGTTGAGATGAGGAAAAGTGCTGTGCTGTTATTTTGTTATTCCTTATCAATGCATTTGATACCTCTATAGAGTAAGGCAAATAGCAAAGTTTCCTGAATGATGGAACTGAAGATACCCAGGACATAGCATTCTAAGGGCCCTTCCACACAGCCCTCTATCCC